ATATATATATATATTAAAAAAAAGTGCGTAGTGCTCACCAAGGAGGCGTCCAACTATTTCTCTAAGCTTCAAGCTTTATATACAAGCAGGGTGTGACTCTGGTCTCCTAAACTTTTTGTGACAATATTAAATCATGCTGTTAATTTGTTTGTAGTCTTACCAATGTGTGTTTATTGGAGATCTTAAATTCTCAACCACTACACTATTTTTCCCTTTTATGTGTCATAGTCCTTAGAAATAAAAATAAAAAAATAAATCTGGATTGACAGACCATACTTCAAAGAAAATCAGAAATCGGCATTGGCCTGGTAAAACCCAGTCTATGCATCACCAATATTTATACATGTGATTTTTTTCTCTGTTCCTGAGAGTTCTTGATCTTATTTTTCATCAGTTAGTTGCGCCCTCCTGCTTTGGCCGCCGTCAGTGAAGAGTTCACCATGGCAACCGCTCCTGGACCTGACGTAGAAAAGCAGAGGCCTGGCCCCAGTGACCGTCTGATCACTCTGTTCAGGTTAGCGCTCTCAACAGAACAGCTCCTCGCTCCTGTGGCAACGACTTATATAAGCTACAATGTTTGCATTCTTTGCTTAAGACAACATATTTTGAACAAATAAGATACAAGTTTTTTGTGAAAGCCACTGAATCTACGAAAATGTTTACTTACAGACTATTTTTATTCACATTTACAAATAATTTCTGACACATTTTTTTTTCCTTTTCATTGACATCAGGACCTGCTCCAGAGATCCCACAGAGGAAATAAAAATTAGACTGAAAGACATGCTGCAAGAGTTTCTGCAGCACTGCAGGGATGATAAACATGACGACGCAAAACGAGGTAAAAGTCCCATTTACTCCATTACTGGTTTACAGAACATTTTAATAACAAAAAGCTTCCATTTAAATGGTCTGGTGTTTTCAGAGCTGGAGGAAAAGTGCTTCTGGGATGCCACATCAATCTACTACACCATCTTAGAAAATCTTCCTGGCATTCAGGTGAGATTAAAGTCTGTCATCTCTGTGAGTATGCTGCCCTCATGTGGCCACACTAAGAACTGCATTTGCATGCAGTTTCCTTATGGACAGCCGCAGTGCTGGAGTTGGAGGTCCCTTTGATAGGTGGTGTGTACCAGTGGTCACCAACCCTGGTCCTCTGGCCCCACTGTGCTGTATATTTTAGATGTTAATTACCCATTCATTTAAACCAGGTGTGCAGCAGCAGGGAAACACCTAAAACATGCAGGACCTCCAGTGTGTACTACTAATTTTGAATCCAAATTTTTCTTTTGTTTGTTCTTCTCACATCTTTGGTTTGATGTGATGTAATAGTCATTTTGCTTTGATACCACAGATGCAGAACGTCTTGGAGGATGACCTTTGGCACCGCTGTCTGGTAACCTGTTGCTTGCAGGTCGCCCTGAAAACAACCTTTCGAGTCAGTGATGTCACTTGGCTCCTCAAAGTTTTCAAACTGGATTCCTACCTTTTCTTAGAGGTTTGTCGCACAAAACTCCGAAGACCTGCTATAAAATCTGAGTTACCTGCTTCAGCTTTTTTTGTACTGTGGTTTCACAGGTGCATAACCAGTTCCTATTAAGGTTCGCGAAGGAAAAATTCACAGACTTGATCAGACGCTTTAAGCCAATTGGAACAAGTGTTTTAGAGAGCTCCGTTTGGGCCAGCCACTCTCACCTGTGGGAGAAAATCAAAGACAATGAAGGATTTCCACCTTTCAAACACCAGGTCTGCCATTGCAAAAACAAAACATTCACCTGTAAATTACTTTTGTCTGTTTAGTTTTTATTGAAAGGACTTCAGTATCGCTTTACCCCAACTGTTTTCTAACGCCACACACAGCTGACTTCCCCAACAAATGTCAAAGGTCAGCCGGAATCTAACCCACAAGAAGGTACAAAGAGTGATAAAGCTTCCTTTTGCTTAAGTTTGTTGAAAAAGGCTTAAAATACAACAAGCTGTGTGCTTATCAGCAGATGTAATATTGGAAGCAGAGTCGTCCAGGACCTCAGAGCACCAGCATTGCTCCCCAGCTGTAAGGAGACCCAAGGGGCAACCTTTCCTTCACCGGTTTGCCAGGATGGTGAGTTCTTACTCCCAGAACTTTCCACTGTTAAAATATTTGTTTTGTGCAGCTGTGCTTTGTCCTGTGATCAGGTTTACAGCGAGATGGCAGAGCGTCTGAGGGAAATGTGTTTCAAACTACAAGTCTCTGATGAGTTGAGATCAAAGATGTGGACCTGTTTGGAGAGTTCCCTGGCCCAGCACACTTCCCTCATGAAAGACCGTCACCTGGACCACCCGCTCATTAGTGCCATCTACATCATAGCAACGGTGGGCTTTGATTTGTTAAGCCCTCCCATGTCAGTTTCCATGTTTTTGTTTTTTACTTTTCTATATTGTTTTTTCACTGCAGACGTTTTTTTCTTTTGATTTTGTTCTCTCAGCTCAGTTTCATCTGATTGTTTTTGAAGACAAAATGTATGTTAGGCTACAATATGTCAAGATTTCAAAAACTACTAATTGAGAATCACTGTTTTTATGCAAAAATAGACATCACACCAGAAAAAGAACATGACTATAAAAATCCTGCCAGAAAAGGCAACAAAATTTTGGAGAAGGATTTTAAACTGTCTTTCTTACGTTGTCCGTTATGCAGAAGGTTGTTTACCTGAAACAAGCAAAAGAGTTGCTTTTTATTCTCTCCGATACAAGGACTTGGTTAAAATCATTGGGTTAAAAATTAAGGAAAGTTTGCTTATGGTAATAACAAATTTAAAAAAGATCTGAACCACTCTAAAGCAAAATCTAGAGAGTGTGTTTACAGTTGTAATAACAAATTCAGAAAGTATGAGGGTACAAAAAATCATCCTGAGTGATGTGAAAATATGTTGTTTATGAAATCACTAATTCAGTTTCTAGCTTTTCTTGTTTGCTTTTGCAGGCTACCAAGAACAAGCTAACGTTTGAGGAGATAGTAGAGCGCTACAAGACTGAGCCATATAACAATGGAAGTGTAAGTGCCATTTCTGTGACTTAACGTAATGATAAATACAGTTAAATGATCCAAGAGTTTTTCACCACCTTTACCGTCACTGGCTCAGTATCTTTAATCATTATTTGATTTGAACATGTATTGATTGAGAATAACATGACTTCCATTATTTTATTATATTTTCATGAAAAGGAAACTATATTTAGAGCATGGTCTAATTGAAAGAGGGAAATCTTGTAAGCAAAAAGAAAAGGTGTCAGAAACTAGTGAAGCAACATGTGGAGGAGGGACAGTTCAAAGAACATCAGTGGAAATGGCTCAATTAAACCTATCAACCTCATTTTAATTATCGTCTCTTCCTGCCGTTTTGTTCTTTCTGTTGATGACACTGAATGAAAAAGGCTCAGCTCTGGTGCTCTCCATTGATCCTCCCTTCCTATTTCCTTAGTGTAATGTCCAGCACACAGTACAGGAGTTGTCGGCAGATTGTCGGCCCATTTTCAAAACATGAGAGACCACACATTAGCCGACAGAAATCCTAGGTATAACGGTTCAATCGGGTTCGATTGTGCCGTGTGGTGTCCAGACACATGGCACAAAATAATGGCTACAAGTCCAGTTAACTAATTTTAAAACAAGGCATTAATCAATGCTTTACTAGAATCTACCTGTGACACATGTGGCTAGAGTCAGCGTAAAGTTCTGACTGAATGAAAATCATTAGAACCTATTTATGTCACGTTAACGAAGAACAGCTGAAAAGTTACCGGGTTTATCAACTGCGGTAGCAATTTGGCTCCAACTCCCCCCCTTGTCATTTCTATATTCTTTGCACAAAATGTTAAATAAATATTATTGTTGTTTCCACATATCATCTCCAATGTCCGCTGGATTTTAGGTTGTGCCGTGTCAGCTGTTTCGGATTCCCCTCCGTAATTTCCCCTCAGAAAGCACGAGGAGAATCCGCGCTTTCTGATTGGCTACTTGTCACATTCAGCGTTAAGCTCCCAGTCGGGGGAAAACCCCTGATTTAGATCTGAGCGGCTATAAAGATCTACCATAACCCACCACACACTGTAGGATGATCGGTTACGAAATCACCAGCGGCAATCTTAGATCAGCCAACGATCTAAGATTGTCATACGGAGAAAATACGGGCAAAAAATTGTGTAGTGTGAACTACTGTGTCAGGATGTGCCCATCTTCTCTATTTAAATCTAGTGATTACTGAAAGGCAATATAGTATACAGACTTCAAAATCTGTACTCTTTTGGTTGAATGCCGTATTTATTTTCACTTTGGCTTCATGTTGTTTAGTTTTTATTCAAGTACGTTTTTTGTTAATGGAGACTGAGAATCCATTTTATTTTTGTTTTTGGTTGTTTTATTTAGTTTATCAGTTCCCGTGTTATGTGTTGTTTAGAAAATAAAATGTAAGTATCTATGGCAGGAAATAGCTGCATTATTACGTAATTTCCATTAAATCAGTGTCAAAAGGTCTTGAAACAATATTATTGTTTATCGCAATAATTTTTTAGACAAATAATCGCCAAAATTTGTTATTGTGACAGGCCTATTTGCATGTAGACTTTTGGGAAAGAGTTTCATTTAATAATTTAATTGAATACAATTTGGAACAAGGCTGTAACTTGAAATGTGAAAAAGTGAAGCGATCTGAATACTTTTGGATGCATGGCATCGTCTTTATTTATGCATATCTAATGTCATTTCTGCCATGTTCTGAAGCCTCAGATGTTGCTGAATGTCAACTGAATGTTTTCACCCTCAGGTTTCCAAGGAGATGCTGAACTCAGAGTCACCTGTGGAAAATCTTCCCAAAGAGACGATGGGTATGATTTCTGTCTGTTTGGGTGTTCACCAGAGATTAAATATAATTTTTTTATAGAAGTATTAACTCACCTAATAATATTTTGTTTCTGTTTCAGCCGTTAGCAAGGCTGCTATAAAGCTGTTGCATAATAACAAAAACAATACTGTGGCAGTTTAAATGATCACAGAACTATCATAGAAATGTAACTTTATATTTTAGTTTTCCTCTTTGCACACATATCTGACACTAACATAATAATTTACTGTTACCACATTTCTGTGTCTGTCTATCCTTCAAGTATTCATATCCATTTTCAAACAAAAATGTTGGAATTTTATGTCAAAAATGGATGTGTAGCTTTGAATTTCTTCATGCATGTATCCTCACTAAATACTAAATAAGTTACTAATTGAATCTCTTGCTGTAACTAAAGTCTTGTGAAAGCCTCAGATGTTTGTTTGACACTTGATTTTTTTTTATTACATTGTTGCTGACAGATCTTGGATCCCACAGAGCTGCTTTTCCCACACCAGAAGAAAACTCAGCGGAGGACAAGAGAGGCAGCCTCATCAATTTCTACCACCTCTACAGCATAAAAATGCAGCCGTTTGCAGAGAAGTTTGCCCAAACTTATGGGGTATGTTTAGTTGTTTTCAGAAGTCATTTTGATCAACCTTAACAAGAAACCAAATCAAAACAATAATGCAAAGAAACAGTGTAAAATATCATATTAACCACTAATATTTGTTTTCTTCTGCAGGGAGAGACTCCTCCCATATCTCCATTGCCGCCACCGCAGTCGAGAGAAAGTTATCACCCATCAAAGAGTGTTAACTTAACCGTCTCACCGTTAAACAGACAAGAAGTCCTTCGACATACTCCCAAACACACCTATAACATTGGCAAAAGTAACAGAAAGGTCACTTTTATTGATCTTTACTTCACTGGACATACATTTTAATCTTTTTATCCGCTTTATATCGGGTCACATTGCAAAATTGTAATGAAATTCCTATTTCTTTACACAGGACCTGAGTAAAATCTCTGACATTGTAACCAGAAAACGTGAGCTGACGTTTAAAACAGAGGAAGAAGATGGGCCTTCATCCAAGCAAAGTTGCTTGGAAACTCCGTCAGGTCTGCAGAATCGACTGATGAATCTGCAAAGAGATCGGTCACTGGCACAGAACCAGAACAACCAGAACCACCCTGGCAGTTCAGCCTGTAACACGCAATAAGTGAAGTTTACTTAAAAAATGTATGCAAACTCCTTGCCTCAAAAACATCAAGTTTCCAAAACTTAAAAATGTTAGTATGTGCAAGTTGTACATCTTAAGTTTTCACAACTCAACTAATTTGATGATCTTGAGTGAGTTGTGTTGACATGAATGTACACATAGCTCACTGTAAAACCTAATTAGCGATTTCTACTTAAATATATGTCCAGAATTAACTGATTAACATTAACTTGTGCAGTTTTAGTGAGCATAATAAATCTACGTTGTGATTATTTAAACGATTCATTTTTTTAAAAAAAGAAAAGAAAAAAAAGAAAACTACTTATTGAAACAGTTCCTGCATTAAATCTATTACAGTGAACTTACATTTGATAAAAATAAATGAAGACGAGACCAACAGACAGCGACTGGTAGAATATTTCCCTGTGAAGCAGTGCATATTTTTGTAAATCTTTTTTCAGAAAAATCTGCTTTTTAAGCCAAACGCATGGTAAACTATTTCACAAAGCAATGTGTTGCAATTGTACTTAGAATTTGTAGAAGTCAGCCAGGGTCAGATATTTTCTTTTGGAAGTTTTTGCAACTTCCATGATATTTTCAGCATTAGTAACTTTGATGTGTTTAATTTATTTAATATTATGCAGCAAGAGAACACTTTCTGTTCAAAACTGACGTGTTCAAACCGGCTGGGGAATGGGTCTGGGTAAAGGTTCGTGGTTTGACAACAGGGTTAGAGCTTTGGTGGGATGTTTCCAGTCTGCAGTATTCCAAGGAAGGAACAGTTCTTACTGGCCTGATACTTATCTACTATAAAAACAAACAACATGGCGTACTTGAGCAGTAAAACAGGACCATGGAGTAATCAAAGACTATAGCGTAGTCTGAGGAGTCACATTTTCATTTACAGCACATGGATGGCTTTGATCTTCTTTCACCTTGTTCTGCTGCATCCTGCAGTCCATGAACAGACTTAACTCTGACCTACAGAGGCATATCCCTGCTGTCTTCTTTTAGCAGGACAATACAACAAAACAAACATTGTTAAAGAACTCCCCAGATCTCCATCTAATTCATGCATGAGGAATGTTGCCCATTTTTCTCTATGGTAGCAATATTTCGCATCAGGTCATAACTAACAATCTGAAGCGTTATCTTTACAGCACTATTTTTAACTTTCATACTTGTGCCTTTGTACTGTGCTGAATGTTTAATTGTTATTGCTTTTTTTGCTTTGTTCACTCCATTGTTTATTCACATGCAATCACAGTGATAGTGCAATGTTTATTATTATTTATATTTGCCATGATGACCAGCTGCAAAAAAGAGAGTTTTGTTTTTCTATGTCCAGGAATTCCAGTATTTATTTAAATGATTGCATAGTGAGCCGTATTAAAGTATTAAGATCAAATGGTTTATGGGCTGAATTTATATCTTGCCTCTCAAGTCGATCTGACCCCTCAAAGAACTGTACGCATTACAGTCCAAATATCATAACTAATCTCAAGGAACATCAGCCAAGAAGTGTCAGAGTAACTGTATTGAAACAAGTAGTGGTCAGCTTGTTGATTTCCCATTGTAGCTGTTTTGTTTTGTTTGGAGAAAAAGCTCCTTGTAAGTTTATCTGCTGATTATCTTCAGTTTAATTTTATCTGGGAACTGAAGTTGGAGCAAACAGCATTTGTCGCAGCTCTGTGCAGCAGCAGATGTGCACTTTCCATATATGTGTGTAACAAAATATGCCTTATTTTAGTAAAAATATGTATATCAAACCAAATATTAAATTAAAGATACTTTAAACAAAATTGATTTGTGTTGTAAATCTTTTCCAACATTTCAGTATTTGAATACTAGAGATTGCCACAGTAGTGAGAGATTTTTTTCTGTTTCAATGATTTAACAATAAAACCCATTTCATGATCTCTAGACATCACATCATGGAAAAATTATAAATTTTAAGAATTATGTTCCAGCAAACTATTCCAAGAATTTGTGGAAGGACATTCAAAATACTTGACCCATCTTATTCACTTTTACAAGCAGAAGTCAGTAACCAAGGCTGTGACTGCAAGGGTTTAACTGCAAGTCATTGTTTGGAAAGCTTTATTGTTAATTCTTAACCAACATTGCTAAGGAGGTGATTATAAAACAGCTGTATAATCCTGCAGACAAAGGCTTGTAAAATAAAGCTAAGACACGGTTAAGTTACCAAACACAACAACTCTCCAAGACACTTTGGAGAACAAAACCACCTGAGCCTACAACACCCAGAGATTTAAAGGTGATGGCCTTTATTTTGAAGCTTCAGTGATCTCATCAGCTAAACAGATCTGTGTGCTCACTGGGTATCAGTCCATCAGGTTGAAATACAAGCAAAGACACGGCAGTGGTGGATCTCTGAAATGATAAAGGAGAAACCGAACACTAACATCTGGAAAAAAAAGCAGAAGAAAAGACAGAGCTTTAACTAGATATCCCCGTCTTAATCATCTTGCAAGTTAAACTTATTTTGAATTTCTATCAGATTCTCAGATCTACTTACTAGCACAATATATGTCTTTTTATTCCCCTTTTAGACGGATATAGTGCTACATAAAGCAAACGATTTATGGCCATTGCATAGGGGTCACTTTGATGGGGTCACCTCTGTAACTAGAAAGCCACGTCTCTGAAGCTGCTTGACTTGACAAATGGGTTGCATGGTGACTGAGATGGAGTCTGTGGTGATGGTGTGTACAGATTGGCCTGTCTGAGGGTGAAGGAAGCCCTGTCAGCAAGAGGCTGCACTACTGTCCATCAACCCCTGTGTCATCAGGATCAGCTCTGCGAGGCATTAACATTATCAAAAATATTAGCATTTAACTGCCCCCCACTAGTGAATTAGCATTAGCTTTGTCCCTATAATAACCATTCTACGTTTTTTTTAAATTTTTTTTATTAACTATGTTTAGCACACTGAATGGAGGAAGTCAACGTAAGAAAACATGCAAGTGACCCCACATGCCACAGACAGCATTTAGGCTAACATTAGCATTTTGGCTAATTTTAGCTTGTACACTAATTTTTTTAACATACTGAATGGAATAAGTCCATGTTACTCAACATACTTGTGACTCTCCACATGTTACTGAGCACACTGTAGCTTACTCTAGCACTGATGCTAACTCTTAGCATCAGAACGTTGTGTTCCAATTGACGGGCACACTTTGGCAGCCCTCCTTAAATTTCTTCAGAAATGTTCTGGTTTGCCTCTGTGATACATGCTCTTCTTGTTTGGGTTCATATTTCTTCCTGATCCTTTCTGCTGTGTTCCTTGATCCTCCAGATGCTTTTTATCCACCAGAGTTCAAACCTATGCAGCCTGCAAAGCACTCAGGTGGTGGACAAATATTGTATTGTTTTTGAAAATGATTTGTTGCAATGGATTTTATTCGAATGTGTATTAATATGAACGGGGCTGAATACAATTGCATACCAAACATTTCAGATTTTTTGTTTGTGAAGAAAAAATATTCCTTTCTATTCCTTTTAATTTCCAGTGATGTTCTACGTTTGTTGGTCTATGATGTGTACACCAATTAAGATCAATTGAAATTTGTGAATATAACATAAACAAATTGCAGAAGAGTGTTTTGCAAGGCCCAGTTTATCCTGAGTTTCTGATTTTCAGCCTTAGATATTTTCATGCTCTGCATCTTCTGTCTTTGTTTTCCCAGCCATTCATGAGTTCATTCTTTCCTCCCCCACAGTTCTCCTTATGCACACCTCTGGTCAGGACCGATAGTTACAAAACATTCTTTCAAACATTTCCAAATGTGCTGCAGGCTAAAGCAGCAACCCTTTAAGATAGTCAGCTTATGTCTCAGCTCTGGGAATCCTTCCAGCCCTCAACCATACAGCTCGCTTTGCATATCAGACTTCTGGTGTCTGTTGCTTGGACAGTCAGAAACCGTGGAAACCTTACACAGCAAATGAACGTCTGCCAAGATGCGGGTTAAATCGATTCTCTGACATTTTGCTGTTCCTGCCACCAGGGGGCAGGAAGCCCCAGTTGGACGGTTCCTAAAGTCGCCACCAGGGAGCAGAAGTGATCTTCCCACAGAGCGCTGCGAAATCCGAGACTGGCTCCATTTGCTGAAGACATTTAATCTGAAATATAGGTTGTAAGTTTATTACCAGCGAGTGAATGGAGCTGGAATGGAATAGCCATTTTACAAAGCCATATCAAAAAAACCCATCTCTGAGGCAGCGGGAAATTACATGAAAATATTACCATTATACAAATGGAAACTGTGATTGAATAATGTGCTGGAGAAGATAAATGAAAAGCACTTTGTTGGAAAACGTGCTGCTAAATAGGTTTTTAATTTCAGTGGTGGGATAAAAGAAGCAGAGTTTTTACCCCATTTCACTGCCAATTGATTAGTGGTTCCACACCTGCAGGTAGAAAGGGGCCTTATCGTCTCATTATCAGTTAATTAATATGCATGCACACATGCCAATTATCTTTCCTCTGCCATTTAGCAGAAATAAGACATTGATGTTTTAATGGTGCTGGAATGGATAAGTCTTCTGTTGCTTTGAAGACAAGGCAGGCGCATTGACTGACATAGCTGAGAAATGTTGAGAGACAATTGAATTAAAAGCAACCTGATATAACCTTGATAATTATATTAATACTTCTCAGCAGCTGAGGTATTTTATTCTGTTTTGCAGGTGCTTTAAAGCTCTGATCCACCAGAGTTCTTCATTAACGCTCTTGTGAAAGATATAAAAAGGGCAAAGCAATTGGTGGAGTGAATGTGCCTGTATATGAATATATATCCCTTAATGAGAAGCCATTATGGAAACATTTTATTTGAAGGACAAGCAGAATCACATTTTTCCACTGTTCCATGACTATTAAAGGAGCCAAGGCCACAGCAAGTGAAGCAAACCCAAGATGAAAGTTACATTAATCATTATTCAGTTCGCCGTGCTGTGTCCACTGAATTTATGTCCATGAGTCAAAGGACAGTGTTATGTGCCAGTGAAATAGACAATATTATGGAAGGAAGCTCTATTGACATTTTTCATTTCTGCATAAATGTGGCTGGTTGCACTGAGCCCAAGGCTGTTGGGTATAACACACACACACACACACACACACACACGCACGCGCACGCACACACGCTATATATAAATACACAGCTGTGCAGAAGTATTGAGTCATCCTTATTTACTCATGGTTTGATTCCAAAAAACTGGATTTTGTTGTGAAACCTCAGACATTGACCAAACAGGCTTTTTGAAATATGAGGCATGATTGAAGCAGGAGTTTCTTTTTCTATAGACTACAACACTCACAAGAGAAAACAATTTATTTATAAAGTTATCTGTTGGTGTTTCACTCAACAGATAATTAACAGATGTTCCAAAACTTTAACTCTTATTAAACTCTACAAATGTGCATCAAAATAATAAATACAAAACATTTAGTTTAGGTTTTCTGTGAAGGTATTATTAGTAACAGTGTTGGGTCTCGTCATAAAAATAAATCATTTCAACATAAGCTTTTTGAAGAAGTAAATGAATCCTAAATGTGTGAGAGTTTAACAGCTAGTTAGAGTTAGATCATCTGTTTTGACTTTATCAATCCACCAAATTCACTTCAAATTAAACTTTCAGTTTTCCCTAACCCCATCAAGAACTTTCAGATTTAGGTATCAGACATTCGACAGGTTGGTTTGTTCATGTGCTTTCCAGAATCTCATTTGAAATGTATCCTAGTAGACACATGATTAGCTGATGAAGTGGACTGATAGAGTTTATGTCTTTGCTATTTGTTAGTCTTTTACCACCCAAATATGAATTTAGTTTTCTATCAAACTCATAGTAATGTGACATTTTGCGTCTTGTAAATACATTTGCATGAATTCCATGACCTTACTCACATTACCTAGAGTTAGCAAAAGGCTATTTCATGTCTCTGATGTTACAGACACAATAAAAATAAATCAGAAAGAATCAGCAACACACTGCATAAATACAAGATCCAAACTTAAGAATCAATATTTAAACAATAGCACTGTAACAAAACAATACAGTAAAATTTATTTTTTTTAATGTCATTAATTATCCTTGCCGACATAAAAAGCAACAATCAGTTATGGAAATATTCTTAAAAAAACAAACAAAAGAAAACCCAGGAAAAACTAGAAATGCCCTCACAATCTAGAATCTAGATCATGATTTTTTTTTATTTTCAACCTGTGTTATATTGAATGTAAAAAATAATACAGC